CTCTCTCTCTCTCTCTCTCTCTCTCTCTCTCTCTCTCTGTGTGGCTGCACGGTTCAAATCTACAAAACGGGAATGAATTTTCCCGTGATGTCGGGAAGATTCATTCCCGTCGACTCTCTCTCTCTCTCTCTCTCTCTCTCTCTCTCTCTCTCTCTCTCTCTCTCTCTCTCTGTGTGGCTGCACGGTTCAAATCTACAAAACGGGAATTAATTTTCCCGTGATGTCGGGAAGATTCATTCCCGTTTGCTACTTCGAATCTCAGAGAGAGAGAGAGAGAGAGAGAAACTCTGTGAGAGAGAGAGAGAGAGAGAGAGTCAGCGCAATTGGCGCCGACTCTCTCTCTCTCTCTCTCTCTCTCTCTCTCTCTCTCTCTCTCTCTCCCGCCCGCCCCCGGCGTGTAGATGCAGCGCAATTGGCGCCATGGCTGGAGGACATCATCTCCTGTTGTCGACGTTATCGTTGATGTTTTTACAACTGCCACCTCTGTTGATGATGTTATTGCTGTTGTTGTAGTTGCAATCATTGTTGATGTTGAAGCTGTTGTTGCCGCTAATTTCTTCATTTGCTGTCGCTGGCGATGTCGGCGTCAATCCTTCACCCACACCCCACCTCTGATCACTCCCGTAGGAGTGCACCATCAATCCAGCCTCCAAAGCTGCACAGCGATCCTGCGCTTTCCTGAAGGTGTCATAGCATATGTGCATGAGAAGGCCAGCTTGATGCCAATCAACAAACTCATCGAGTGAAGGAGCCGGCCCCTCCTCCAACTGCCAAATGACATCAAGCATGCACTGCATCATGTCCTCCAGCCATGGCGCCAGTCTGACTGTCCCCCCCACAGCCCCTAGCCGATCACCCAGGCTCGAACACAGAATGTCCACGACCTCTTGCAGACGGAGTCCGCCTTCTTCTATAATCTGCAACCATTCAGCCGCACCTCGCCGTAAGTCTTCATTGGAAACCATGCCGTCCATATGGCCCCAAAGAAAAAAAACGCGCCGTCAGATGTAGCAAAACAGACGCCTCACACTGACGTACCGTCTCCCGGTGTACCTGGTGGAATATCCATCATCGCCTGGGCAGAATGACCAAGCGGACACCACACTGATCAAGGACAGCTATGGAGAAAACCACTACTGTCCCAGCCCACGGAGTATGGCTGAGCCTTGCCAGCCGGTCCGTAGCGCAAGTTACCGCTAAGCGTCGGCGCGCTAAAGATCTTCTGGATTCTCAATTTGTGAACTGTTGATTATGAAGATGAATGGCCAGAAACAACCGACTCTCACCTGTCTTTACTACAGCCTCTACAACAACCCGGACTTTTTGTACCTAGGGAACGAGGGCGTGGTTGTACCCCTTGTAGATGAAGTTCTGAATACAGTCCTCCAGCTTGAGGGCCCCAATAGCTGCCCCAACCGAAAGGATGGCTAGCACAACCCGAATGATAAGGGGGAGGGATAACCCCAGGAGTTCCCTTCCTCCCGCAGATGACACAGCTGAAGTCGCCGCAGTTAGAGGGGTATTCGCCCCACTGCTGGCAAGGATGGTGGTTCCCGTCTGGCCCGGAATACATACGGCAATGGAAAGCAGAGTGACAGAGGCGATACAAAGGACCCTTTGGAGTGTTTTGTAGAAGTTGAGCGCCCTCATGCACACTTGGCATCTCGCCGTGTGCTGATGGTACCGGTCCAGCACCTCCCGAGGAGACAAAAGTGCAAACGCAGCCTTATCCTCAGCCTTATCCATAACCTTATCCATAACCTTATCTGGCGACCCGGTCGCACCGTCGGTCCTACCGGTAGGAGCGGGATAAGTCCCCCCCTTTGCCCATTTGACATCACCGCCACCATATTTGTGCAACCATTGCCGGAAAGCAATGACCCAGCGATCGGAGGCGGTGGGCATGTAGTACGCCTCGTTCCACTCTTTGCTCGTTTCTATCTTCATCCTGCTCAGGTTCTTGTCGGCCACATGAAGCAAGTACGTATCGCCATCGAGGAAGGAAGATACGCCTATGTGCGCCATCTGAGGTTTATCGAACATAGCTTGACGCAGTCTGCCGAGGAAGGACCACACTGAAGTCTGGCTGTCTGGGACACGAGTCCAAGAGTCTCCAGTGATGAGAAGACAGCGTCCCGGCTCAGTGGGCGTGACGTAAAACGTGCTCATGAAGGTGCGAGATGTTCCCTGTAGGTCCCATTCCCTCCGGTGTGTCACCCTACTGGGAGCTTGGAACTCCACGTAGAACATGCCAGGGCGAATGGTCGTGTCCCAACCTTGCCCCACAAAACCCTGTTCACCCCTTGATGACGCTTCCAGACTCAAATGCTCGCCCTTGTCCCGTCGCAGGGAATAGGCTTGGCCATGATGGGCAAAGGACAAATGGCTGGGGTCGAAGAGGTTCTCGACGAGAACCTCGTAGCTGTAGAGTACCTCCCGCATGTATCGGTCTCTCCTGAAGAGTCCTGGCATGTGAACTGCAGGATCAACAGGAAGAGGGGTCTTGGAGGCCAGCGCTACACCCTCTGCACTCTCATCTGGCCACAGAAACACCACCCCGCTCACAACGCCCGTCGGAACAGCGGCTGCGCATGCACGGGGAGACGTGCGCCCACGCTGTTCCGGCCTGTCTTGCGGTATGTTCGTGCACCCGCCATCCCCGCCGAAGGACCATCCATGGTAGGAGCACTGAAGCCTCCCCTGCTCGTCGATTCTGCCTTCTGAGAGCGGAGCCAGTCGATGAGGACACTGGTCCAGGAAAGCTCGCCACATTCCACCCCGGATCACATCCTCGTAATCTGCTTTGCTCAAAGCGCCAGCGCCGCCGTCATTGCCCGCCTCCATCTCCTCTCTGCCCACTCTGACCGTTGGATCCTGTTCCTGGGCGGATCTGTCCCACCACAAGACGAATCGACGGCCCAGGACGGTGATGSCATGCGGCTGCCTTCTGTCAAGATGAGCTTCCACCGCCACACCATACCAATGACGGCTCCACTGAAACGAGGRCTGTTCGTTAGCCACGTCAGCATTTTGCTCGTCAAGGCCTGATGCCGCCGGCGTCTCTGTCGCCATAGCTGCTGCCGTAACCTTTGAGGAAGGCTTGTTTGCATGGGAACCAAAAGCTCCGGCCGCCATAGCTGCTCCTCGTATAACGGGGGAAAGAGAGTCCCCCCCTCTAGTCCTCTTGGGGCCCGCAGCGACGAAAAAGAAGTCCTGCGACGAAGATTCACCGTCTTCCTCCCACGACAAATCACCAAAACGCCACGTCATCTTCGAGCTGGACAAAGTCGGAGCTCTCATTGGCCAAGTCCTTCCCTTCTCGCTCACACTCCAGGCTAGAGGACCGATCCACTGTGTCTCTCTTAACCAGCTTGGACATTTCCGTGGTGGAATGCCGCCAGTCTCCAGGCGTCCCCGGGTGATGACACGTAGCGCTCTCGTATTTATGCCAAACGCCTCGACACCCGAAACACGTGTGACCGTCCGGAGTGGCTTCTCTGCGTCAGCGGAGAACGCCGCCCACCTGCTTGCCACGCGGACGCCTGTGGTTGAATACGTTGCCATCGCCATGGCCAGATCACGGCGTCAAGCAGACAGAGATTCAAAATCGACTTTCCGCTCTCTCTCTCTCTCTCTCTCTCTCTCTCTCTCTCTCTCTCTCTCTCTCTCTCTCTCT